GAGACGATATGTTTTACCATAAGACACTTTACAAATTACATTGGTGGAATTCTTGAGAGATCCAAATACCCCTGCAGAGAAATTGAATCACCTACTAAATGGCTCTTTACCACCAAAGATATCAAAAAACTGAACAGTTGAAAATTCAGGCAACATCAGTGCAAATTAGAAATATGACTTCCTTATGAAGAGACAATCAATCACATCAGGGACTGAAGGTAACTCCCAAGAATAGCTGCAAATACCTCACATCCTCATGTCTGCACATCAGACTGCCTTTAATACAGAAGATCTATTTAGTCACATATCTCTGAAAGACAGACTTTTAACAAATCTAGGTTATTGCTCTTGGATAACTTACTCAATATAACCAATACATGAATCAAGTTAGACTGCCTAATGATCCCTTATGTTCTTAAAATCTGCTACTTCACTTGTGTCTGAATCCATTAAAATAAACTAACTGTTAAGTACAGATTTTTTGCAACCACCCACAGCCTGGTCCAAAATAAGACGGGAAATATTTACTTTGCTAAATCAGTAAGTTCTTTCACATCTATACATGCTTCTAAGATGAAATATTTGGGTACTACTCCTTCCAATACTCAAATCAGAAGAGACAGGCCTAAATAGGTTTGTAAATTAAACAGTGTCATCAACAATGGAAAAAAAAAATTGTGAGCAAGACATCTTAGCATTTTCACTACTACTGCAAGAATTTTCTTAGCACTGATCCATTTAAGAATTTGAACTAGGACTGTAACCCTCAGAGACTCAAGCAAAAACTGTTATCTCGTTGATTTTTTGAGTTGCAAGTTTCTTTGTGCTCATTTTGTCAGATGCTCCCAATATATGAACACTGACACAGATGCATATTCCTGAGATTAGCCAAACAGAACAAAAATTAACTTAATATAATTATTTTAAACAGTAACACTGCAGATTCATTTTTATCATTTCATCAGCTGTATAATGCATTGAATCTTTGAACTGTAAACTCTTGGTTGCCACCTTTTGGGCCTCCATTCAGGACAAGGTAAACTCATACCACAAATGCAGGACACTACGAGGCAGGAGAAGTTTTAGGAGGAAAAGAAAGAGGGAACCTTAAGACAACTAGCAAGAGTAAGAGCCTAAGTTTCTCCACAGCTGCCTCAGAGTCCTGACAGAGTTAAGAATCCCTCTTAGCAGCAGCAGCAAAATGAATTGTCCACCCACCACACATAACAACTAACAACAAAAAAACTTCCCAACTGTTTTGATGGATACACCACTGTGAGCAAAGAAAACTGAGTAGCACAGAATCAGTCTGTTCTGCTCTGTCAGCACTTGAGATAAACACCCACTCAAGAAGAGTGTCCTGAAACCTGAGCAGGATATGCATACTTGTCCTGTAACACATGTACAGTCCTTGGGTACTTAAAGACCATATTTTTATAGGGGTATTTTACCAGTAACATCCTTTCACTGTACAGATATTTTCATCACTATTCCAAAGTATCCCAAAAAACAGCCTACAGTGAAATGGGAAATTCTTGCAATACTTCCATGTATGGGAAATTCGAGGTGGGCAAAGTGATGCATTCACTCAGAAATGTCTTTTAGCTGGTGTAGTTATTATTATGTATTTCTGAGGAGGGTTACGCACATGAGTGGGATGAGATGAAGAAAGAGCTAGAACAGCTTACAGAAAACACTCAGGAAAAGGGAAAATAATGGAATTTGAAATGAAAACTCCATTTCAAAATTTTAAAATATTACCTTAGATTTAAAAAACTGTAAAAATTAGATGGTCTGAAGAGAAAATTTTTCATATTAGGTTGATGGAGATTGTTTACCTTAGTTTTCAGCATTTAGTCAAGTTAGATGCATTTCAAAATCCCTCAAACCCAAGCCATTCTCATGTCCCAAGGATAACCCTCAGAGAACAGTGGCAGTCTTACTTTAAGTTCTACAGTTCCCATTGCTCTTACATGAGAATGAGAAAGTACACAGCTGGATAATGCACACACATACCAATGTATCCTTCTTAACAACAGCTTGATTTCTCTTTTGTACCACTCACAGTTCTTTATTTTCTTTAGAAAGAAAGTGTTCTTTATTTTAGATCATAATATTAGGGGGCCATGCCCAAGTTATTGTTCCATTATACTGGACATAACACATTAGTAAAGGTCCTCGATCACAGCTTCCAGACACTAGGGCAATACAAACAGTAAGCAAAATATTTCCTTTCAACTAACTGGCAGAGACTTCTAGAAGTACTTATGCTCACAGTAGTCATGCCAGTACGGCAGAGAAACAGTAGGTGTGGAAATTATATACCTGCATTTAATTTCAGTTAGGCACAACATTTTTATGGGTTTCAGGGGGGGAGACACAAACAAACTTTGCTGCTTGCTGAAGAGAATCCATTCCATTTATCCAAGCCTACAATCAGTATGCATGTACAAATAAAAAAGGACATTACATCATTGAATGACTGACTATGCCACAGAACGACTGTTCTCATAATAGATGAAATATATACAGTAATATGTAAACATAGAGAGATATATGCTTGTGAGTATGGTCACATCCTCACACTGGAGACTTACATAATTAAAGTGTGTAAAGCAAGAAAAATATCTGATTTTATTTTGTATTTTAGCTTATCAACTGAAAGCAAGTTATCAAGGTTAAACATTGCATGGCTTATTCTCTGAAGTGCTATGAGATATATTGAGTACAATTAATTGCTTTTACCTATAATGAGAATACTTACCTTAACATAAATTGACATAACTCACTGCCTCACTCCTTGAAAGACCCTTATTTTATTTTTTCAAATTAAGCTCAAGATATAAGAGGCAAAAATAGCTTCTACCAAAAATACCAATATCACTACCAAATACCAAGTTAATATAAAAATGCCAAATATTAAAACCACTACAACCACAGCTGCCTCCAGAAAGTAACTGGAATGAATATATCTACTATAAAAAGTAAATAAAAAGACATGCCTTTTCACCACAGTCAAGCCACAGATTAAATATGACACAGAAATAACTACTTGCTGGATGTATACTTCCATTTATAAATATCTTTTCTTAGATTTACAAGGGTCAAGTGCAGCATTGCAGGAGATTCCTATGTGAACTTTATCTGCAATTTGATCCTTGCATGGCATGCTGTCTAAGCATTACACTGTACTATAATTTAATACTGGACATACACTTCAGCAGTTACAAATGATGCACTATTTAAAAGCATATAACTGTGACCCAGAAATGTACAAAGGCATTCAAAATACCATTTTATTTTGGACTGGGGAGATGAAAGGTCGAGTTGGGATAGGGGGTCTCTAAAAACATAAAGAAGTGGCTCATCACTAAAGGATTAAAAAAATGGCCATTGCCATTTAAAAAAAATGTTGTATAGGTTCGATAAACAGTGATGCTACTTTAAGCCTAAGACTATGAAAGTGTATAGGGGAAAAAACCCATATATTAATGTTGTACTATCATGCTAACCCTAAAATACTAGAGGGGAAAAAAATCCATACCTTAATGTTTTACTATTATGCTAACCCTTTCCAACCCACCTAAAGCATATTATTTAATGATGCTAGCAGAGAAAACAGCAGGACGGCTCAGTAAATGACAGTCTCACATCATGTGTTTCATTTCAGGCTGGGGCTTTGGTTTGCTCCTCCTCTTTCTTTTCTTCAATAAACATGAGGGGTTATGCAACCCTCTGTAAAATAAAAAAAAACCTGTCCCCTCCCAAACCTGCCCTGTGTAGAGCCTGCAAAACATGAACAGGGAACCTGGCTGTCAGCAGCATCTCCTACATGATTCGAAGTTGTCAGTGTTTGAGATGCTATTCACATACGCGTTCGGCACCTTGCAGCATACATCCAGCTTCCCTTTGGAATAATTTCACCAATGTACAAGAGCTTTTACCCAGGACTGGAGAAATATTTGCAACCGACGGTGATCTGGCAGAGGAGGGGCTGTATTTACTTTCAAACGAGCTAGCCGAGTTTACAGATAAAAACACAGGATCTTGTCTCGTCCTCGTTTTCCACCCCTGAGTACATAGCTGTATACCTACGGGCCTTACCCCGCAGGCTCTAAATGGTCTCCCACACCTGATGCTGGTTTTGTGGAGGACGCTATACAGCAGTGACTCTTGAAGACGAAGCCCCTCCAGCTACCACCTGGGGATTTCAAGGAGAAAAAAAAAAGAAAATAAAGGCAAATAGTCTCTCCGCATCGGTCTCCATAAAAGGGGGCCGCTGCCTCTAAACGAGCGCATGAAGCAGCAGCGTCGTCGGTCGAGGCTTTGTTGTTGACTGCGGAGCATTTGGTGTATGCGCGCAAGGTGGCTCCTTCCCGGCTCCTTCGGGCGCCGCCCGCGGGCGCAGCGCGGGGCTCGCCGGCTGCCCGCAGCCAGCTTCCAGCATCGCCCAGCCACGGACCTGCTGCCGCCAGGAGCCGGGAAGCCGCCCGGGTCCCACGCTGGCTGCGGCCGCGCGTACCACCTCGATGGCGATCGGGGGATGCGGCTAGCGGAGCCCGTCTCCATGGCAGGGAACGGCGCGCAGCTCCTCGCCAAGCCCCGCTCCCCGCCAGCTCCTGGTCCCCGGCTCCCGGAGGGGAGCGCAGAACATCGCGAGGACAGCACGGAGGTGAATCCCAAAGAGGGACGTGGCGCCGCCGCCCGCAGCCCCCCGCAGGCGTTACATAACGACGGCGGCGGCCGCACCGGGCTGGGCTGGGGCGCCCCTCCGGTGGGGGCTGGCACCGGGAGGGGGCACCGGAGCTGCCAGACCCCCGTGGGCGCCTCCACCGTCCCCTCCCCTCGCGCCATCGGCAGCCGAGCTGCGATCGATTAGCAACGCAATGGGAAACAAGGAGCGAGCACGGCACACGACACGCACCGACACGCACCGCACCGCACCCTACCCCCGGCGGAGCGGCGCTCGGCTGGCCCGGGAGCGGCGCCCGCACACTCACCGCCGGCTGCGGAGGGCGGCAAGTCTGGCGGCGCTGGCCGGGCTCCGTGCGGCGCGCTTGGCGGCAGCCGCGGGTGTCCGCAGCCGGCGCGGCCGTTGCAGCGGCACCGCCCCCCCCGCGCGGGCATTGGCGGGCGCGCGGCACCGCCCGCCCACCGCGAGCGCCCATAGGCGGCGCGCGCCGGCCGGCCGGGGCCGCTCCAGGCCCTGCGGGGCGCCTGAGGGACTGCGCGGCCGGCGCTGCCTTACATGGCCCGCTGGCGCGGCCGCGCTCCCGCCCGCCCCGTTTCCCCCGTTATTCCTGCTATGCCCGTTTGCCCCGTCACCCGAAACGCGCAGGCAGGTGCGCTGCGTCGGGCGGAGCCTCGCCCTGTTCGCGCATCCTGTGCCTCCCGCTGCCGATGCACCGAGAGGTACCAATGTCCTTTGTGTTCTGCCGCGCCCCGGCAGGTTTGGGTCTGGGTGGCCGCTCGGCTGTGCTTGAAGCTGGGATCGTCCATGTAAATGAACACGGTGTGGAAGACTGGGCTGTGTGGTGCAGCGGGGGTTCAGTAAAAGAAAGCCTCACCTTCCCTCAGGTTGCCTCTCGCTTGGGAGCAGCCCGAGGCCGGCACAGCGGAGAGGCGCAGCCACAAACCTACTCTAGAGCAACTCCATTCAAAACCCTGGAGCACGGACACGGTCCAGGAGCCTGCAGGAATCTAGTCAGCCGTTATGCACCCTCATCTGTGAATTTATAACCAGAGTCCAATGACCCTGCAGAGCATCCTTGGTGGATTTTAACTTGATTTCTTCTGTGCTGGAATGAAGTTAAAACAACTTACCCACAGTTGTGAGGGAGGAGAGCAAAATGCTAATGTGCAATGGATTCTCAATTTTTCAAATGCAGGAGATATATATGGCTAATGTTTTGATTGCTTATGTGCCTATGCTTGCCTTAGGAAACAGAATAGTTTACAAACTATTGTAAAATTAGCTTATAAACTCTGATTTCAGTAACTCAAGGCAATTATTGAAATGACCACGAATGTAATAAATTGACTTGAAAGGACCCTTCCTGTTAGGGTTGAGTTTGGCTGTAGTATGAGTGAAGGTTTTGTGGTAGTGTAGGGCAAATGAAATTATGTTCTCTCCTAAGAGCAAAATCAATGTCTGCAAATCAACCTCCAAGTCCTTCTCCCCAGGGCTGCTCCCCAGGCTGCTCAAAATCCCTTCATCCCCTAGTCTGTATTGGTATTCAGTAGTGAAACTAAACGCGCTCTTGGTAGGCACAGACATAGAAACTCATTTCTGCAATATGTATGGGCATACACCCATGGGCAGCTACACAGACCAATACAGCCAGAAACACTCAGCACTCACACAAGCACAAACAGCACCAATGGCCTCATCTTGCTTCCCTGTGGCTAATCAGGATGAAAGTGTGTTATTAGGAAATATATGCTATGTATAATGTGGATTCCTCCAGTAGCTGACCTTAGATACTCAGTCTACCCCTGGATCCACCATGTGCCCCACTGTTGTTACCCTGGACATACGAGCTCCTAAGACTTGCAGTCCCACTGTAGTTGCTCTTCACTCATCACCAACAGACACACACCATGATCTGCTGAAAGCTGGATCTCTGATCTTCTCAGCTGCTGTACCTTCACAAATGAGCACCTCTCCAAGGGCTGGTGCAGCCCTCCTCACTCACATGCACCATGGTTCTCTCAGTAGCTGGGCTTAGACATGCAGTCCACCCAGTAACTGGCTGTGGATCCCAGGTCACCCAGTTACTGGCATCTGGACACACTATTCTCCACACCCCACAGTCCCACTCCAGCTGCTGGTACAGATTTCCTTGCACACAGCAGCACATGAACATGCATACTGCTAATCTCTCCTGAGCAAACACCACCCAGTATCTTGGAAAGGCCCTCCTTCCAGCCTGGATCACTGTTGTTCCCAGCTTCTTCCCATACATGTACACACACACACACAGAGACATGCAGTCTCTCAGCTGACCTTCAGATTTTACATCCTCTCCATTAGTTGGCATGGACTTCTTGGTCCCTTTGGAAGTTACCTTCTCCAATTGCCTTACTTCTAGAGACATACTTCCCTCCCAAGCCTCTTAATCTCTTCTCCACCTAGTTTGGCTTGATATTTGCACTCTCTCTTGGTCCAGCTGCTTGCACCAGACACATATAATCCCTTATCTGCAGTGGAGTTATTGGTGCTTGTTTTTACTCGCTCCAGTCTCTTCAGTTGATGATTCTGCTGATCTGCAAGCCCTACAATCCCTTGTCCGATTGCAGTTGCTGACTCTTAGACATCCATACAATCACATCCACACAGAACTGAGTCCACTCATTTAGGATAATAGATAGAAACGGAATTTAGGAAGAATGCAGGACAGCAGGTGATCATCGGGTGAGGGTCATGGCCAGACAAGCATACTGCCCAGCAACCTGTTTACACATGGGCAACTGCTTTTGTCCTCCTAGCCCTCTATGACCCATTTTCTCCAAGCCAAGATAAGCCCTCCCTTCCTCTGTTTTTAGTTTTGTCCCCTATACCAGCCAAAAGATATCTTGTGTAATCCTAAGATTCCCTGAATGTCAGGGGAGGTTCAGACTTGACATTTGGAAACATTTCTTTACCAAGAGGATGATCATTCCCTGGAACAGGTCTTCTGTGGAGGTTACTGATGCCCTGTGCTGTCAGTGTGTGAGGCATTTGGAAAATGTCCCTAAAAACAGCTTTAACTTTGAATCAGCCCTGTCACAATCAGGCAGTTGGACTTGATGAATATTCTATTCTATTCTATTCTATTCTATTCTATTCTATTCTATTCTATTCTATTCTATTCCCTTGCATCCACAATGTGTGTTATACCCTCTAGATAGTGTTGCCTTTTGCCCAACCTGGAAATGAAACTCAAGATAATTTTAGTAAGGAGGCAATATAAAGGGGGAACTTTATTTGAAGGCCTTCAGAGGCATTTATGGAAAGATGTCCACAAAAGCCCACCCACCCTCTCTCAGGGGTGAGTACATTTTTGTAGGTTAGTATAATGAATAGAAAACACCGAAAACACCAATTAGGAGGACAAGTGGTGATGCAATTCTCCCCCCCCCCCCCCCCCGCCCCCAGGCCAAGCCCCTTCTCTGGAGCCCCCCTTCAGCACTAGTTGTACTTTGTCCATGAAATATATCTGGAAGAGTGATTCTGAGCCTGGGATCTGAGGAAGAACCAAGATAGCGTGGGTCCTTGTACCCCCCAGGGCTTGGAGCTCTGGAATTTGTTTTGTCTTTCTGCTTAGGGAAAAGCTATGGAAAATCACTGGGAAAACTAGGTACTAATACAATAGGTGACAGAGTTACAAATATATGTGTGAAGAATACAGACAACATGTAAAATAAAAAAAAGCAAAACTCAAACGCCATCGATTGTATCCCTGACTTCAACCCCTAAGTTTGTCTGGAAGGACTACGCAGATTCATCTGGTGTGTTTCAGACCTGGATGATGATCATCAGTTCTCTTTTGTGACACTCCTGAGATTGGGACAAGGAATCTTTTTTCTGAGCTCCCCATAAAGATGAAGGTTCCTCTCTTTGATATTGTTCTGTGCCAAATTTAGAGTGTGGACATGAGCTTTTTATCAAAGAACCTAACAACACTTAATTTCTGGTCACACTTTGAAGACCCTATATTCTCAGATGGAGATGATTTTAGAGATTTAATTTAGCAATTTAATGTAATGGAATTTAGTAATTTAGTTCCTGGTCCTGGAGTCATACTATTGAAAATGTGGCATCATGAAGTTTTGACAAAGACAAATGAGTCACAGAAATAAATTAGTGATACCTCAGGGCATTTATGTGATGCCTACCTAATCCACACTGTCTTCCTTTCCACCCTTCAGTTCTCAGTCCACCAAGTAGCTCCCTCTCAAGTGGCCAGGATAGAGATGAGACAAAATGTTGGAGCCTTTGTTTCATTCTTTCAACTGGCGTTTGTTGTTCAAGATGCTCGTCTTTTACACTTCCCAAACTAATTTTTAGAAAATTCAAGTATAAAATCACAAAAGCCCACATAATTTTTTGATTATCCACATTTGGGTTACATGCCAATGTTTTGGTAGCAAGCAGGCTACAGGGGTGGCTTCTGTGAGAAGATAACAGAAGCTGCCCCTGTGCCAGAAGGAGTCAGCTCCAGCTGGCACTGACGGACCCGCTGCTGGCTAAAGCTGAGCTGCTGGTGGCAGCACACAGTGACAGTATATTTAACGAGGGGGAAAAAGTGCTGCACAACAGCAGCCAATGGGTGAGAGAATGGTACAGACAACTCTTCAGACCCTAAGGTCTGAAGGGGAAGAAGGAGGAGGAGGAGGAGGTGCTTCAGGCACTGGAGGAGAGATTCCCCTGCAGCTTGTGGTGCAGCCCCTGGTAAGGTAGCTGTGCCCCTGCAGCCTATGGTGCAGACATCCACCGTGCAGCCTGTGGAGGATCCTATGTCCAAGCAGGTGAATGCTCCCTGAAGGAACCTGTGAACCAAAGAAGAAAAAGCCCATTCTTGAGCTGGCCTCTGACAGCACCTGTGATCCCATGGAGAGGTGCCCATGATGAAGCAGGTTTTCTGGCAGGACCTGTGACTCCATCTGGGAACCCACACTGCAGCAGTCTGTTCCTGAAGGACCGCACCCTGTGGAAAAGACCCACACTGGAGCAGTTAATGAAGAACTGCAGCCCATGGGGAGGATCTGTGTTGTATAATTTTGTGAAAGACTGTCTCCCATGGGAGGCTGCCCAGGCTGGGGGAAGAGCATGAGGAGGAAGAGAGAAAGCATTAATAACTGATCTGAACCCCTATTCTCCATTCACTGTTCAGGAGGAGGAAGTAAAGAAGTCAAGAGTGAAATTGAACTCTAGAAGGACGGACCAGTGGGAGGAATGTGTTTTAAGATTTTTTTTTTTTATTTCATATTATCCTACTTTTGATTTGCAATAAATTAAATTAATTTACCCACACTGAGTCTGTTTGGCTCAAGATGGTTATTACTGAGTCATATCCTTACCCTTATCTTGAACCACGAGCCTTCTGTCA